ATTACTTTGACACGTGAACTTATCAAACGACTGTAATGATTCCATTAAATTTTCTTAGTATATTTAGCTAGTTTATAGTAGATACACACGATCACAGAATAGAAGAGCACAATTGGGCTCTTTGTTCTGCGACCGTGTTTCCTCGGTGGGCCGACAGGTTTTTGTTGTGTAGTAGTGCTGGGGAAAAAACACGCTTTAAATATCAATGAATGTAAATATTGTTAATTGACATTAGTGCCACAGTTTATGTGGTAAAAACAAATTTATGGTCAAACATTATATATCGTAGAAGGGCATGATTTACCCACATCACTAAGCATCTGGATGGATAATTAGCACACAAGGATAAACTGACCTTTAAACATGACCACCAGCTATACCACGTAATCATAGCTCCAAAATAAATAAATTGCTCTACATAGAAACATCTGGCCTGATCTTATCACATTGTGGTCCCCTGGGGTTCGGTAAAGCCCTTACAGGCAACTGGGTCCTTTTACCAGCCACAATAAAACTAGTCATGCCAGTACTGTCATAAACTGTAACCAACTATTTAAAAATAAGATATCTTTTGCTAGAATTTTACATTTTAAGCCATAGAGCAATCTTCTCAATTTTAAAATTTAAAAATAACATTTTACCCTAACTATGATGTGGTGGCATTTCATACTTAACTAAAATTCAACTTTGAAAGTCAATAGATTATTAGTCACAATGAAATTATAGTTTAAGACATCCATTTTGCATTGTGTTTCCAATATTAGAATTTATGATATGTATTGATTGAATAATTGGTAATAAATTTAACTTTTGTTTTATTAAAACTTTTGTTTTATTAATAAGCTTGCAGCTTCCGATGAAAATGTATTCAACTTTGTGTCATGCTTGAATTGGTTTTGGACCTCTTCAATGCTTTTAGTTTATTTATAATTGTTATTTGGTATTATGAGCTGATATGTATATATACATACGGTAACTAAAATTAAGCGTATAGCGAGCATATTTAACAATTTTTAAGCAATAATGTATTGCGAGCAGCTGTAACTTAAATATCGCATAAAAATCATATAATTATAACACAAAACTAAAATTTTATTGGAATCTAGGTTAAACTAAGATAAAATTAATATCAGCCCCTTCGCCACTCTCAGCAGTCAACCAGGGCTCATAAAAGCTTAACAGCGCCTGGGTCCGTTCACCAACTGTGCTAATGTGAGTGGCGGTGTGGTAAAACCCATTTTAACAGCGTGAATATTTATCAAATATAAGCGCGCTAGCTGCTAGCATACTTGTATCATTTAATTTTTAATCAAATTTATTCGGATATATATTTATTGATTATGTATTGAATTGGTGATAAATAATAAAATTGTCTTTTCTCAAAAAAATTGTCTTTTCTCATTGTAGATTTTGAGTCGACGGATGTTACTCGTATAAATTTCTTCGAAGTAGCGCGCGCCGCTTTCTTCTCGAAATGGCCCGATGGCACGTGCTACGAAGTAGCGCGCGCCGGGCCAGACCATTAACAATGGTCAAATTTTGAGTTATCCCAAAAAGTCTTATTTTTAGCCTAATAAAAGTTCGCAGCTTAAACTTTGCAGGTTTTAGTTAACTTCTGATTGCATGGCTGAATTGTGTCACCACCGTCACGTGAAGTTGATTTGTTTCTCTAAAAATAAGCGCGGCCCGGGCGCGAGCATGAGCTTGTAGCGCGATTTCACCTAACCATGTGCTTTCGCGCCGCTGCGGGCGCGCGCTACTGCAAGCGCAAGGGCTCTGGATAGAGCAATAGCGCGATGCGTTACTGTGCCGCGCCGCGCACTCAATGAGGCTTCTCACGGCTAGATCGGCGAGATGCGCTACTGTGCCGCGCCGAGCTGCCATGAATAGACATCGTCAATTAAGCATGAGCTTGCTGTTATGTGAAGAAGACGCAATCACCTATTTAGTTGCTCTAACCAGAGCCCTCTCGCTTGCAGTAGCGCGCGACCGCCGGAGGCGGCAAAGAGGGCTCTATCCATGGCCACAACTGGCACCACAAATCGTGGGACGTGGTGCCAGATTTCCTCCCATATTTCTGATGCCGCGCGGGACGTGTCAGTCATTTTTAGTCATGTCCGTGGATTGTGATTGTAATATCGGAAAACAATATTTTCTCATTGGATTTGATTTTTGTAGAGAGCTAATATACTTTCTTTGATCACGCACTCCATTTAACAAATTTGAAATTTTGCTTGTTCCTTTGTTTGTTGCAATCATTCGGTTGATCATTCGGCGGATGCTCCAAAGGGCCGGGACATATTTTAATGTTAAATTCTCAATAACCAGCAGACTTGTTACCCTTTACCTTGCTAGTGCTACTCTTTTGTCGTTTGCAATTGGACTTTAGATTAATTTTCTCATTGGATTAGATTTTTGTAGGGAGCTAATATACCTTCTTTGATCATGCACTCCATTTAACAAATTTTGCTTGTTTCTTTGTCTGTTGCAATCATTCGGTTGATCATTCGGCGGATGATTCAAAGGGCCGGGACATATTTTAATGTTAAATTCTCAATAACCAGCAGACTTGTTACCAGTTACCTTACTACACTTTTGTCATTTGCAATTGGACTTTAGATTTATTTTCTCATTGGATTAGATTTTTGTAGGGAGCTAATATACCTTCTTTGATCATTCACTCCATTTAACAAATTTTGCTTGTTTCTTTGTCTGTTGCAATCATTCGGTTGATCATTCGGCGGATGATTCAAAGGGCCGGGACATATTTTAATGTTAAATTCTCAATAACCAGCAGACTTGTTACCAGTTACCTTACTACACTTTTGTCATTTGCAATTGGACTTTAGATTTATTTTCTCATTGGATTAGATTTTTGTAGGGAGCTAATATACCTTCTTTGATCATGCACTCCATTTAACAAATTTTGCTTGTTTCTTTGTCTGTTGCAATCATTCAGTTGATCATTCGGCGGATGATTCAAAGGGCCGGGACATATTTTAATGTTAAATTTTGAATAACCAGCAGACTTGTTACCAGTTACCTTATTACACTTTTGTCATTTGCAATAGTACATTTGTTAAATGTTGTCAAGGTGTAAATTTTCTCTAATTTTAATTGTATTTTGGACAAGTGTTTTGTTGAGAAACACTTATATAAGCGAACCTACCCCAATATTGATTAGCAAACAGTATTTTATTGATTAACTCCCTAAATTATTTCTAGTCCAAATAGTGGATATTTATTAGCATAATTTACAGCCATCTCTGAGGAACACTATAAGTGAACATATCCCAATATTGGTTAGCAAACAGTATTATTGATTTATTCCCTACAATCATGTTTCCAGTCCAAAAAGTGGACATTTATTAGCATAATTTACAGCCATCTCTGAGAAACACTATAAGTAAAGCTTATTGTTTAACATTTTACCAATTACTCTGTCTTATTGTGTTTCATTTTAAACTGTTCGATCCGAATTGTGAGTTTGTTTTATACATTTGAGTTCACAGCTGCACTTTATCAGATTATAATTTCAGTCCACTAATATTTGCTTCTCTTAAATCATCTCATTGTTTAACATTTGACCATATTTATTTTGATATATTTATTAGCATAATTTACAGCCATCTATATCTCTGAGAAACACTATCAGTGAACCTACCCCAGTATTGCTGTATTGGTTAGCAAACAGTAACATGTTAAGCGTGCATTATATATTATAAACCATGTCCTATTCCCCCACCCCTTTTTCCTTAGCGAGTGATAACTAAATATGTGAATGACCCCTTACAAAGGATCCTGTACGTGCAGAAATAGTATACATCGAAGTACACACTCATCTGCACACTAAAGTTACACTCGCTACAGTTCATCTCTCGGATTATTCCAGAATTGCGCGCAAACACACGTGTTGTCTCAAACAATGAAACAGTCTGTTTCATTGACATGTAGGTTGACACTCTCTCGTTGTGTACGTTTTGAGAACTTTTGTTTAGACTTTAGGGGCCATCTACTTGGGACGTCCGTCAAAATTGCAGATTTTCAGACCACCCCCGGGGAGCACCCCCTCCCCCTGTCCGGGTGTGTCCGAATTTTCAAACCCCCTCCCCCGGACGTCCTGATTTCCAGCTACTTTAAAGAGTACAAATAAAACCAACTCAAATTCATTGTTAATAAAATGTGTAGTCACTTAGAATAGACAATAATACATTTAGTGTCGAACAAGTTTAGCACAGTTACATTAAGGTACTGTAGCCATCCAATGGAATAAGTTTTAAGGCAGTAGCAGAATATGCGAGTTGTGTCTCGGCTCTCATGAGCTGCTCTGGGAAACGACTTCTCGTTCAAAATACAGGGATCTAAACTTACTGAGTAATTAGTGTCAAAGAGTTGAAATAAATGCGACTTTTTCGTTAATTCTGCCAAAATTTCCGGACGTCCGGATTTTCAGAAACCACTCCCTATCACTGTCCGGATTTGTCCGAAATTCCAAAACCACCTCCCCCTCCCTTTTTGCTGGACGTCCTAAGTAGATGGCCCCTTAATATTTTATTTGATGCAGAATAGCTGACAGCAGCTACAATTGTACATTTGACTCAGTCTTTCTGTGCTTTCATATCTTAAGTCTGATATTTACTTTGCTCCTAAACCTTCTTTTAGTTCTGACAAAGCAAGATTTGCCATGATACACACACGATACAGCGACTTTTTATGTCGTCATCGCTGCATAATTTAGACTTTAGAGCCAAGGTACTAAGGCAGATAGCTGATATTCAGGGCTCTTTCCCCCTAGACGATTTTGGAGCCCGCTGTTTGACAATATTTACACTGACAAAAATTGGTCGACTCTTTTATCTTATTCTCTCACATTAAACAACATTAACCAGGTTTATTTTTTTTCTAGAAATGACTATAATGTGACTACTGACTATTGCATTGGATAGAGTTTTCCAATGGCATTGTTTTCTACCTATCTGACCTATGTTAAGTTTCGCCAAGACTTGACGGGACCATCACATCTTTTGACCACCCCAAAGTCTCACTCGTTGCGCCAACACAGCAGAGAGTTCGTGAGGAGGGGCCTATATCCCTGATCAGCGGCTTATCCTTTCGTCCACCACAACACTAACTCACACAGTAACTGATGACAATCCTTTCCAACTAATGCTCACTGAATTTATCCTCAGCGCTTCTGTTGACACAGCATGGCACCAGGTACTCTCCCTTATTTTTCCCTATTTATTTTGTTATATTACACAAGCTGAACTGGCTCGAGGGATACCCTTGATTTTTACACGTACCTCATTATTACATCATATCAAGTTTAAGTATGTTAAATTCGATTCTAATCGAAATAAAATGGTTAACATTTGCAAGATAGTAACATTTGTTTCACTTCAGGGACGGATCCAGTGATCCACTAACTTTTCCTAAACAGTATCGAAAGATTGATCTAGAAGCTTTGACAGAGTTTTAGCTCTTTATGTCTGCCACATTGACTTTCTGATGAATAAAGGAAAAAATCGTAAGCCTTTTACAATATCTAGCGCCAGTCGGCCGCGCGTTATTGACATTGTGTAGACCCTTTGAAATTTTTTAAAGCTTTTAAAAACGGCCATTTCTTAGGATCGATGTCCTTAAAGTTAGTTGTTCAGATCATTCAGAGGTTATCGTTTAAAGTTTAGTTCAGTCTAAAAAAGAAATCTGAAAGAAGGTAAATATCTTAAACCTCAGCTGCTTTTCCTAATATGCGAGATGAGTCTGTCCGACCAAATTTTATTTGGTTAGCCGTCAGGGCAGAAACTCAGGATCTCAACGAATCTTTATTTAGTTGCTTATCTTAAAATCTGTTTCAGGTAGGTGATAAGGTGACGTTTGCAGAGCGGCGTCTATTAAATATCGTACCTTTATGTTTGAAGCTGAGACCGGCGATAGTTTTAGTAAGGGAGGGCTCCTGCAGAGATCAATTCACGGACGCTAATGTTGCCTTGAATTATAGTATGATAACCGACAGAGTAAGTTTGTATTATATGATAAGTGTTTGTGAAGTTAAGTTGTAAATCAAGTCGGAGGTTTTGTGATGTATAAGTATAATGTCTTGATAAATGATTCAAATTTCTGATTGTCTCTAAATAGACTTGGTGAAGACAGATTCTAATAGAAATAAATAGTTGAATAACGTATCGACATAACTACGTCATACTCATATCCTCAATAAATGTAATGGATTTGTAGTGTTGTAATTAGTTTAAAACTAAGAATAAGTGTGCAGATGATAATATAGCAGTATAATATTGTGCCCAGACCCTCCCAGATCTGCCTTCAGCTCCCTGTCGTAGTCAGGGATTATAAGGAGCTCTATCTACTTATCCCTTTTCAGGTGACGTTTGCAGAGCGGCGTCTATTGAATATCATACCTTTATGTTTGAAGCTGAGACCGGCGATATTCCTAAGTAATACGGCAGATGAAGACACAAGTTTTAGTAAGGGAGGGCTCCTGCAGAGATCAATTCACGGACGCTAATGTTGCCTTGAATTAGAGTATGATAACCGACAGAGTAAGTTTGTATTATATGATAAGTGTTTGTGAAGTTAAGTTGTAAATCAAGTCGGAGGTTTTGTGATGTATAAGTATAATGTCTTGATAAATGATTCAAATTTCTGATTGTCTCTAAATAGACTTGGTGAAGACAGATTCTAATAGAAATAAATAGTTGAATAACGTATCGACATAACTACGTCATACTCATATCCTCAATAAATGTAATGGATTTGTAGTGTTGTAATTAGTTTAAGCTAAGTTAAAGTATAAGTGTGCAGATGATAATATAATAGCAATATAATATTGTGCCCAGACCCTCCCAGATCTGCCTTCAGCTCCATGTCGTAGTCAGGGATTATAAGGAACTCTATCTACGTATCCTTTTTCATTCCTGACCCTGATTGTTGTACGTAGCTGTGACTTGTAATCTTCTCGATTCTCCCAGTTCAATTTCATTTGAACAGCTTCAGGTAGCATTTAAACAACAATTGTTACATGTTTAAATCTGGAAATATTCTTCGATCGTACACTTCTCTACACTGTTTTACGCCATACATAAAAAATCAAGAAAAAAACAAATTTTGTTGTGCAGCTGGATTGAACGGGTCGGCTCGCTCCGCTCGCCAAGGGCCCCCCAAAGAAAAATCCTGGCTACGTGCCTGTAGTGGATACTAAGTAAAAAGGCTTCCATGGAAAAAATTGCACATATAATATCTCGGTTCGGGATACTAGCCAAAATGACTTCTTTAAAATTGAAATAACTCCAGTTTTTGATATTCAGTTTTTTACTCTTTTTCTGAACTCTAGAATGTGACTGAGGAGTGATTATATTTGTCCTAGTATACTAATTAGCTAATATAGTAATCGGCTACAGACATATCTACGCCTATGTGGGACGCACACTAAAATTAATGGAAATAATTATCGGACTTTATTATTCACGGACCTTAATACCACAGACATTATTTTCACGGACATAATTATTCACGCTGAGGTCTTCAGTGTGAAAGTAATGTCCGTGATAATTATGACCAATAAGGTAGATAACATGCTTGTCCTTGCATTTTAGAGTTCCGTCTAGCACCAGTTCTATGTTGTTGACCATGATCTTTTGAGTCCTTGTCGGTGAACGGACCGAATCACTACATGACTGAATCCCTAACGGACTCAATCACTACCAATCACTATTGGTAGGGATTGAGGTATATTTTAGGACTGAATCACTACCGGACTGAATCACTACCGCTAATATCTAAACCTAACCACTTTGATGTGATCCCTACTGAACTTTGCAATAAAGGCATAATTATTCGTATTTCATTAGTTAATTATTTTATTTTTTGTTAATTATTATTAGATTTTTCGTGATAATTGACTAAGCAGAAATTTGGTCAAAGAATAATAGATAATATACTGCTACAGTAATTTAAATCACACAATAATAAGTAAACATTAAAGCATTAACCCAAAATCTTAGATCCAACAGCTTTCAGAAACTCGGTAACATCCCCAAAGTTATCATAATCATCAACCATACGTTGCATCTCCAGGTCAAACTTCTCCCACTTTGCTGCTCTCTTGAAGGGTTTTCTGGTGAGAATGAAGGACTTTCTGATAGGAGAGTTGTCGATAGAGTAGTCAGCAGCAAGTCCCTCGCTCTGCAGGTGTCTCCACAAGGACTGTTTAAAGGTTCCATCCACGACGAGGTGATCTGACTGATAGATGATGTTGATTGCAGTACCAAGGAGGATAGATCTTCTGGTGTTGGTGTCGTAGGAGGAGTCCCAGAGCAACATAGTGTCACCACCGGGAGAGGTCAGGTAGTTAGGAGGAATCACCAGGTCTTCTAAGGAGATGGGGTTGACAGGATGGGGTAGGCTGCCTGTCTGGCTCGTCTGACTAGTCGTGCCAATGACTTGGGATCACAGTTGAGCCGGGACGAGGCTTCGAAGGATAGTCCAGCGACAGAGTCTGCAACAATCTGCTTAGTTGAGTTCTCAGAAGTAGCTGCGAGGGTCTTCATTTTAGACTTGGAGCGGTGGGCTGCAATTTCTGCTGGTTGAGATTCGTGATCATGAGGGGTAGCAGAACAGAAGGTGTCCTGGACAAGGATCAGGCGGGACTTGCACTTGTTGCACTTCCAGTAGGTCTTGTCTTCCCTCTTTCTGTTAAGGTGGTAGAGGTGACCATCGTAGAGGACGTTGCGGCTGCATTTCTTTCTGCCAGGAATAAACTCGATGGATGAGGAAGACATAGTGGTATAAGATAAACACAGGCGTTGCGGGTTTATATATTATTCCCGCTAGCTGATTGAGATACCGAGCATGTGAAGGTTCACATCACTGTATTGTCGTATAGCAGGTCATTATGGATGACTTGATCCGAACCATTTCTCGTTAGGGCTCCTCGTTGCGTACGTAAGTCTGTGGATCACATGTCTGACAGGCCCCATAGCAAGCACTCCATGAGAGCACCGGCTCAGATCACGTCATGATATTAGACTAGTGAACTAAGATCAACTGGTAGAGATTGAGGTATATTTCAGGACTGAATCACTACCGGACTGAATCACTACCAGTAGTGATATTTGGGTGGTAGTGATTCCGTCCTGTCGGGATTCAGTCCTACAATCGTCCTTGTCAAAGAGGACGGGGCAAATTTTGCAGCTAGGTCCATTACACCTCTGTAATTGTCCTACATCAAGGGTTTCCAGTTGTCCCGGTTGTCGATTCTTTTCTAGTGTATTACCGATTGAAGGGTGTTTCCTAGTGGCAAATACTATCCGTACATCCCCACATAACATTAACCTAGTAGCTTAATGACCAGATTAAGTTCTTAACCAACTTTGTAAGACTAATGTTATCAAGAGTGTTGTACGGAAAATACGAGGCTCTGTTGTGTCTTATCCTCAGTGTCTCTGGTTGGATTTCCTGGGTTCTCAATAGACCTCTGTATTGCTTTCGGCTCGATTTCTTCTAGTTTGTCACCGTTGTTGTTGTGTCCGCATCTGGCAAGATCCTCCTTTAGTTCGCCCAGGTCCTCTACACATGGTGGGGTTGGAAACTACATATGTATCTGATCTCAAGTAGTTCCTAGCATCTGTTTCCTTTCTAAATAGCTTGTACCAGATCTGATTTTCGGAGTCCAAACTCAAGGTAAGGTCTAAAAAGTTAACCTTGATTCTATATGGTTCTGCCAGTTTGATTTAGCCAGTTTGTTCAACAATTCGACAAACATTGTAAATTGTCCCGCTGTCCCCATCCACACTCCAAATATGTCGTCGATGAATCTCTCCCAAAAGTTTATCAGGGTCGCACTCTTTATCTTTTTGCTAACCTTTTTGAAGAGCAACCAATGCATACTATGCATGCATGCATTGCATAGTAACGTCTGACACTTGTCTGGAGATACAGTTTCCAGTAGTAGGCATGAGGCAGGGAAAATTAGTGTGTGACTGATTTAAGCAGTTGGTCACCAGAGTTCAGTTCGAGTACTAATTTTAAGGAAATTAGTGACGTTTTATTGCTAATAAAATTGATTTGAATTCACGTATTTTTGTTGACGTTAACAAGGCTCATACCTCCCCCTCCTGTCAGCAACCGTCAGCATTTCCAAATACCCTTTTCCCTCGGCTGCTGACGTCATACATGAACGCTCGCTTATGTTAGCTATACATTTTGTAACAGCAACATTTACATTGTATTATGTATTATATTGTATTATGTAATTACATTAAATGACGGGTGGGCGACAATTTACCCCCCGACAATTAACCCCCCGACAATATAACTTAATACAATTAACCCTGACCCTGACCCTGACCCTGACCCTGACCCTGATCCAGGACCCTGACCTTGACCTTGACCCTGACCCTGACCCTGACCCTGACCCTGACCCTGACCCTGACCCTGACCCAGGACCCTAACCCTAACCCTAACCCTAACCCTAACCCTAGGCCTAACCCTGACCACTGACTCTGACCCTGACCCTAACCCTAACCCGATCAATTGACCCAGTGTAATTACATGGGGGTCAATTGTCGTACTAAGTCCTAGATTTCGCGACAATTGACCCTAGTTTAATTACATAGGTAGGGGGTCAATTGTCGGTGGGTCAATTTTCGGGGGGCCAATTGTCGTACTAAACCCTAGATTTCGCGACAATTGACCCCAGTGTAATTACATAGGGGGTCAATTGTCGGGGGGTCAATTCACAATTGTCGCGGTACCTAAATGACATGTACTTTTTCAGGATCAAGTCAAAGTCAGGCCTGCAGCGACGAGCCCCTTTCTTTCGGATTGTGAAGTGTAATGTTAATGTTTAATGTAGCTGTTTAACGTCGAAAATTGTTAGTTTGTAATTGTTTTTGAGAAGCAAAATAATTAATCTGAGAAGTGTTTCCAGTTTTATAAAGCTCAGGCATGGGCACCGTATTGTTTATTTAGTTATATTTTATACAATATCTTTGACCTTTGTCGCATTAAGTTGTAGTACTACTACTAGTAGCGGGGTAGTACTAGTAAATACTGAATACTGTGTTTCGTTTATTCTATAAGTATATAAATATTGCATTGTGTATCTTTGTCGCATAGTACATAGTATAAGTTGATAAGTAGCGAGGTAGTTAATACTGTTTCGTGATGTATTTTGATTGTACAATCTTAATTATTCGTATTATTATACCGCAATTCCTGTATTTTATCGTCTAAAAGTGAACAATACTACTACTATGTCGGAGCTAAGTCCGATCTACGCCAGAAAACCCCCTCCATATATCCCTGTCCCGCATCAGGGTTCGCAGTTCCTCTTTAGAGTTTGTCCCAACTTCCTTCAGTAACATAGACAAGTAGCTTTGTCTTGGTCGGCCTTGCTGTGCTCTACCGTGCGTAGGTTCCCATAAGACTAAATCACTGGCAAGTAGCTCAGGATGTCGGATGCAGTGTCCCGCCATTTTTAATCTCCTGCTTCGTAACTTGTTTGACAGCCTTGGGAGGCTACCATACAAAGTTATATTGCTGACCTTGTCCTTCCATGAGATACCCAGCACCATACGCAACATCTTTGTGTATGTCCCGTCCAAACTTTTCTCTTGAGCCTTTGTCAGTGTCCAGGTTTCTGATCCGTAGAGCAGTACTGATTCACAAGCCGCTATGAACAATCTAATCTTTAGGCTCTTTGAGAGTTTGGATTTCCAGATATCCTTCAGTCTATGTAGGGCACCCCACGCTTTTCCCTTTCTAACCCTTATCTCCCTATCTGTGCTCTCAATCCAGGAGCCTAAGTAGATGAAATCATCTACATTTTCTATGGCTTCCCCGGATCGACTTTGTAGGTCGCTAGATCGATCCTCCATATTCAGTGTCATGACCTTGGTCTTGCCTTCGTTTATGTGTAGTCCCACGCTTGCTGCCGCCGATTCTACTCTGAGCAGGAACTCGTTAGCCTTGTCCATGTCCTCAGATATAAGTGCTATATCATCTGCAAAGTCCACATCGGTGATGATCTTGGGCCCCACTCTTCTGCTTTTTCTACGTTCGAGGGTGAGTCCAAGTCGCTCCGCATCATCGCCTATGGCTTGCCTCATACAGTAGTCGATGACTATTGCAAAGAGGTAAGGTGCTAAGGTATCACCCTGTAACACACCTGCAAGTATCTCGAACAATTCAGTTTCTCCGTCTGGAGTTAGGACTTTAGCCATTGTCTTCTCGTACATGAGCCGTATAAGCTGCACGATTTTGACTGGAATGCCGTAAGCTTCTAGAATCTTTAGCATTTTCCCACGATGTACACTGTCGAAAGCCTTCTTAAAGTCTATAAATGTCAGAACAGCTGGCAGTTTCCGACTCTTGACACCCTCTATAAGACGTCTCAGTACCAATATCTGTTGAGTTGTTGACCTTCCTGGTCTGAATCCATTCTGGTTTCTACGCAGAATTGTCTCGATTTCTGGCTTCAACCGGTTTAGAACCATCTTGTTTAGAGACTTGGCAACTAGGGATGACAAGCTTATTCCCCGATAGTTCATTGGTTCGCTAAGGTCGCCCTTCTTTGGAATTGGTATGATGTTGGCAGTTGACCATTGGTCTGGTTTCTCACCTTTCAATAGAGCATTGTTACAGAAGTCTAAGACAATTTGATCAAGGTCGCATCGTTTTAAGACTTCTGGGGCTATGTTGTCGTCACCCCATGCTTTCCCTTCCTTTATGCTGGACTTTGCTTTCCTGTACTCATCCAACGTAAACGGTTCTGTTCCGATATTCAGAGGTGGGTGGACTGGATCAATATCCTCTTCCGCGTTCTCTACCGTCGGTGGTGAGCCGAGAAGAGTAGCAAAATAGTCCTTCCATTTCTGAACCCTTTCCGTTGGTGAGTTTCCCTTGATTTTGCCAGTATATGATGGAGCTTTACCTGTGATCTTGTTGATCATGGTCCAGCTTTTAGCATGTCTGCCCTGCCAACTTGCTTCCTCCAGTTCCCGGACCTGCCCCTCCAGCAGGTGCTCTTTGGCTGCTTGATAAGCATCGCCTAGCTTCTGTTTGCCCTCTTGAACAGCTATTCGGTTGTCTTCTGTAGCATCTGAGTGGTATTTTATGCTACATTCCCTCAGCTTCAGCCTGGCAATCTCAACACTTGGAGTCGCTGAGATTTTACATCTTTTCTTTTTCTCCTTTTCAGGTAGTAAAAGTCGAGAAGTTGTCCTATTCGCATCAATAAAGCATTGGTACCTTTCTGTTGCCGTCTGATCATCCTTTTCAAGTATGGAAAAGCGGTTTTTAACTTCCACTGTGTACCTCTCTTGTAGAGCGATATCAGTTTTAAGTTTAGACCAGTCCAGAACCGGAGCCCTCTTCTCCGTCTTGCTTATCCGTAGACTAAGCTTTACCCTTGCTACGACTACTCTGTGATCCGAGCCAATACTGTGGAAACTACCATATGCTTCGGAGTTCTTGACGGAGTTCCGCCATTTCTTCCGGCAAATGATGAAGTCGATTTGAGATTTACTTTGACTCATATCTGAGAGATATGTCCAGAGTTTACCTCTTCGCTTCTGAAATCTGGTGTTTGTGATTTCTAGCTGTCGCTCCAACAGCATATCCTCTAGCAGTCTACCATTTCGGTTTGCTGGACCCTTGTGGAAGGATGTCCAGTTTCCTGATGATGAGACATGCGCATTGAGGTCTCCTACAACGAATAGTAAGTTGTGGGCTGGTATCTGGTCGATGGCACCACCAAGGCTGTCGTAGTAGTTTTCTGCTTCGTCGACAGTCGCCCCCTCTGTCGGGCTATAACTCACAATAACAGTTGTGACCGGGTTCCCTGCAAAGTTGGCTACCATCGTCCTCCTGTCATGTGAGTATACACTAATCAATGAGTTGAATACTGTCTTTTTGTCCAAGACAATACCAACCCCACCAGCAGCCGCCCCATTGCTGGTTCTCCATGCCGAAGTTGTTATGAGGTGAGAGCTTCCAAGATCTTGATACTCGATTTCAGTGCTATGTACTACCCGATGCTCCTGAATGCCCAAAATATGTACGCCACTATCCCTCATGCATACACCCAGCTCATCCCTCTTGTATTGTTCTCTTATTGTTCGTACATTAAGAGTTCCTACAAGAATTTCCTTCTGGCCACGTAGTAGTAGGGTACCAGCCTTTGAAAGAGTTGGAGCAGGAGATTTGGGTGTGACCCGCCGGTCGAGAGATTAAGGTGTGTGCCCGAGGTAAATACCCCACACACCATGTGTTGAGTCTACGGCGGCGCCCGGCCAATAGGCAGGTCACAAATTGTTTTGCCAGACTTGTATAACCGCATCATAGTACTCAAGCGAACAACCATCCCCCTGTTCGCTAGGGCCGTTACTGCAGAAAGCCTCACGTCTAGAACAATTGATCATTTGTCGCTCCTGATCCTAGAGCATCCTTGTCTCGTTACTTGTCACATGCACTTTTTCTAAAGAGGAACTGTATAGTGATATACAGAAAGAAAATCTGTAGTAGATTTTCAAAGGCGACTGATAATATTGCGGACGCCACACCAACAATATGACAACCATACCATAATCCAACATTCCCATGCAATACCAAATTAAAATAAACAAGAGGCATTTATAGCCTTCGATAAGTATAAGCACACGATGTACGTGCACCCGGGGTTAAATACGACGCAATTGTCAGCACTGCGCGCGCGCACACGTACCATCTTATGTGTGCTAATCTGTATGTGCCTATCCTACTTGTGAAACAAGCGCGTCACGCAGTACGCGTAGGCACATGGCTATGTGAACCTATTTAGTAACATACCCAGCCAGTAACAAATAAGGTTTGCTAGGGGGTATAAAACAATTAGTTAAAATTAAACTGTAATAGTGTAATTAACACAGTCCTAAATCGTATAAGGAATTAAATTTGGTCCAATTTCTCCTAAGGAATAAGGTAATTAAGTTTATCTATAGCTTGCTAGTTATAAAACGCGCGCCGAGTTAAGCTCGACGACAGTCTTGTCGCGTCGACTCTCTAAGTCTAATATATCTGAAACAAATATTTAACGAGTATGGAGTATCACCCATTTTAATCTATTGCTCGTTTCTCACACGTACGTAGATCGACAGAAAGAAGCTATCCTGTATCCTGAATTCAATGCAAGTGAGCTTGAAAAGAGCGCCGCGCACAGAAAATGGGCCCAAGAAACCATACCGGTTGGGGGCCTAACTTGGAAAGTAAAAGATCTTAGCTAGCTTGACATACGTTGCATGCCACTTTTCGTGCGCGAAGCGCGCGCCGCCGAAGGGCGTACAGGTTGTCCCGGCAAAAGCCTCCTTAAATTATTAATGGACGATCCTAAAGACCGTAATCTAGTCATGAACACTTCAGAAGAATTGAATGAAATAAAGGATATTGCCCGCTGTAAACAATGTTGAAGGAACCGTTTGTAGCTTTTGCACATTTTACGGTGTGAAGATGTTTTTACCATGGTAAATTCGGTACACGTACTCAAGTTCGACACGCACTCTAGTTTGTCACTTACTGTAGTTCGACAAACCCTGAGGTTAGACTTTGAGTCTGTCTAACTAAAGTGCTCTATCTGGACTCAAGTTCGACACGCACTAAAGTAAGACAAGATAACTTTGACTGTCGGACTACAGTTTTGAAATCTCCAATTTATCAAGCATGCAACGATCCTTAACGAGCTTGTAATATATTCGTTTGTGTGTTTTCCACTTGTGTCATGCTGTTCACTGTACTTATGTGTTTATATAATTTTATAATCCATATCTATGGACATTTAATTGACCTCATACTCAATTGTTAGTTATTAAAATTGTAGGCTTAACGGAGAAATAAAAGAGTAACGTGGTAACTCTTATTTCGTATTATAGATCTAGATTGTAGATTATGCTAGTTAAGTATTTAGCTAATTAGTGATTCACTCCCGGCGCGAGAACAAAGCGCCAGGAAAATAAGACAATTTTTCGCGCGAACTTGTAAATTTACTTACGCCGCGCAGAGGTGTGCCTTCCTGGTGTATCCATATTATTAGGTAGTGCGCCATCGACAGTGAGCCGCACGTGCCGACTGTGGGATGGTTTTTTAGCGCTAATTTCGGCCAGCACAATTTTCTTCAAACAAATAGATATTAAGTATTCTTCCCGACCTCCGATTGCAACAAAAATTGGTAAGCTTACTCATAGACTTACAAGAAATGTGTCCGAAAAGTTTAAAGCATATCCAACCATCAAACATTATGGTACAGCTAAAAGCAGCGTATTTTGCCCCATTTTGATCACTATATCAACTCCGATATCCACCAAATTTTTCGGACAGTTGTAAAAGCCCTATTGGAAGATCGTCACCAATTTTCAGAATGATCTCATTCAAGGAACTGAAGATATATCCAAAAAATACGACAAAAATCAACGAATTTGGTCAAATTTGGTCAAATTACGCGACTTTTACAGCTAATTTTCCTCCAAAAGCCGCGCACCATCAAATATGGCACCTAGGCAAAACTCACTGATCTTTCCAAAAAGGTATGACAAATTTGGTATTGTGAAAATTCTCACAGTCTCTAGAAAAAAATGGTACAAAAATTTTTAAAGTCCGAGCAAGTTTATTTTTATGGTGCACCTCCTAATATTATCTCTGATATTGGGATACGAAACATGTATCAATAGCTAGCTAGGGACGTCCGGTTTTTTGCGAAATGTTCGCCTTTTAAAAATAACGTTTTTCCCTCAGAGGTCAATTTAAGACAACGTAGATTTAAGTTATCTCAAAATCTCCAGAAAAGTCTCATATTGGGCCGATCAAAAGTTTGCAACTTTAACTTTACAGATTCTTGTCGCCTAATTAGCTGAATTGTGTTACAGCTTACCTGAGGACCCCAGGCTATTATGTTCATTAACATAATAGAATAAAGATTTGGCGGAATGACAGGCTGAGCGCGGCCCAGTAATGTTACAGCATGCCGGCTGCTTAAAAATTGGAATGTGCCACGCGTGCAAATTACTTAATGTCGCACCATTTGTTTAAATTAGACCACCTCTACTTCTATTAACACGGCCTGACGGCCAGCCAGTAAGGTTTTCTGGGAACTATTACTATAGTTTTTTATAACTCACAACGTTGCTCTAATGTCTAACCAAAGCCCTTTCGCTTGCAGTAGCGTGCGACCGCCAAAACAAGCGCGTCACGCAGTACGCGTATACACATGGCTATGTGAACTCACAAACGTGTTGTAGGTCTCCATACCAGGTTAAGGTAAACTGTCATAAATGGAATATTTCCCGCTATTTACAATTTAGTACATTTCCCGACATCTAATACTATAAATGTCGCCCCGTCAGACGTGCTGCGACTTTCATTTGTATAACATTTCACAATTAATAAGCTAACAAAATAAAAATCGCAAAGTGATAATAAGATGATCAAAAATATCATTACATTTGTTCATTGAAATTGGGGACCAATACGATGAAAGCTACTTTTTGAGAAGTTTCTTGAGTGATAAGTGGTCACAACTATTATAGGTCACAACCTAAACTTAAAGTTCTTAAACATTAAAGGTAAGTCACCCTAAAAGTGCCCTTACAGTTAAAATTGCAGATCATTTACAAAATTGAAAATGTTACTTTGCATATGAGGGACGAGGGTACACTTAAAATTACATCACATGGCCCCCAAGTACACAGAATAATACGTGGCTACTAATTTAGCTGAAAACTGAAAATTATTACATTTAAACCATGCGATACAAAAAATAACTATATGCTCGATTCAACTCTGTTATTCTATTCGTTGGATCTGATTATATTCATAATAACGACATAATGATAAACATTTATTTAATGATTGTTTATTCAAGTCCCTTTATGGGAAATATTTCATAAGGTCTCTTCTGAGAGAGAAAAAATTTAACCGATGACACCATCAAATTTGTTATAACCACAAACATTGTGAAATGTCTTAATTCCCGTGATAACGTACACAAAGTGTGGTAAAATACATAGAAGCACAAACGCAAAACCAAGCCGTGCTGCACGCATGACGTCACGTTACAACGTCACGTGATGACGTCACGTGATGGTGCCAAGTCTTGCGATGAGTTTAACAGAACCAGCTGCACTCTCTTCTACCACCACTGTGTTGTTTGCCACAGAAACATTTTTCGTTGGCTTTGTTCAAACCCTGGAAAAGAAGGAAATATAAAAACAAAACTGATTACCTTACGAGACATATTTAGTGGTACGAAAGTCGGTGGATTTTCAAAAAAACACATTTTTTCGGACTACCAAAATTTAGGTCACCATCATTATTTTCCCCAGATTATTTTTCACGTATTTTCCTTAATTAATATTATGACTTAATCGATTTACTATCAATTTATCAATATAGTAAGTTATAAATATGATTCATCAAACAATTAATGATCAACACTAGTATTCGATCATGAATTGCTTTAAATGTTAAAAATGATTTTGGACATTAAAAATAAGCAAGCTCTGTCACTACTTCATTGTTCCCAAATCATTCAGGTCACCAGAATTATGTCGAACTAAAATATGTCTCGTAAGTTAATGCACGTGTGTTTTTAAGGTTTATAAAAGACTAAATATATTATAAAACAACAAACATTCAACTTATTTATCAGATTATAATAAGTGAATAATAAATTATCTGCAGCTCACAACCACTTACAGAAGTATTGAGAGAAGTGTTGCCTGTCCCGGAAGTGGTTCTCTTGTTGCCGTTGGTTGCAGTCTGTTGCTTAAACATGTTCTGCAGGGCAGACTGGGTATTGTTCTGGGTTTCTTTTGTGGTCCTGAACGTGGTCAGGTGCTCCGATACCGACTGTCTGGAGGAGATAAGATTTTAGTTTCTGGGGTGATGGAATTGTTAATCAGTGATTATAGGATACAAGGATACAAGCAATTTGGGACTCAAATACAAGCAATTTGGGGACTCAAAAACTATATTAATGAACTTAACTGATAACTGGTACAAATAATCGGAGTAGGAATTCAGACTAATTTGCTAAGGAATTTAAAAGGAATTCAGACTATAATTTGCTTTATTTCCGTTACAGCATTCGTGGGAACCCCTACCTGTGGTTAGATTCAAGGGTGGTAACTTTTTTGCTGTCGTTGTTCCAGGAATCGAACGTTCCTCTGAGACCTTGTTTTCCGGTGGGGACAGCCATATTTTATGTGATTTGCAGGGTGCCTTAGCTGAGTGATTATTTAAATGAAACACCAGTACTATCAATGATAATTCATTTTAACTTTAAGTTTAAAAGCCAACAAATTCCAACTAACAGACATGATAATAACCTGTTAGGCCGGTTGAAATTGGAAATAAAGGGAAAAATGCAAAATAAGAAGAGGTTTATAGGTAATCAAATAGCAAAATTGCCACGCACAACAGTAAATGTAATCAGGCACTACTTTATCTCTTATTCTGGAATATTATCGATATATTCCAAATCAAATTTATCCTCTACCACGTACAAAGTCCGTAGTTTTATTTCCAACTATACTATCCGCAACAGCAGCAAGTGGGCAGCACGTGAGCAGCACGTGAACAGATACAACTATATTCCGGGAGTAGCCGGATTGGTCGAGTATCAGTAACTGTAAGCCTATTGTTAAGCAATAATTTTAAAATTTTGTTGCATGACAGCAGGCTTGTTTAAAAACACGGTAAATTGGCTTGATACTTGTTTGAACTGATAATTATCAACCTTTGAGGGTCAGATCAAAGATGTAGCATGCAAATTTGTGAATAGAAAAATTACCGGAGGCCTTGGAAAACGGAACAGAGTACAAAACGATACAAAGCTCTTTGACTGATGCCATTTTCTTAGCCGAAGTATTAGCTCAAAATACCCCCATCTGACCAACCACAACCTTGTAGTTATCAAACTCGCCCACACAGCACACTATCACTTATACTTAAAGTTATTATCGAGCATCTGGGTTCATTTTCTTAACCTCACCTACTGTATGAAGGCCAACGAAAAGAGCACAGGAGAAAATGTGTGTTCCCTAAAAGTGACGTCGAAGCAAGGGACGTGAAATTTGCTGGAATAAGTTAGATATGATTAATGAACGCTCCTATGGCTATAGTTCCTATAGCTCAAATAACTTAAGAAAATGTGCTAATTCTCAGAATCGAGAGAGTTGCGGTATAAGAGCCTTATATACCCGACAAAACCTGAAAAGATGTGGCGATTCTCAGAACCGAAACTAATTTTAGGACATCTTTCTATTAAGACAATAAAAGCCTGACAAACCCAACAAAACTGAACAAAATGTGGCAATTCTCAGCCTCAGGTAAGAGAGCAACTTCAGGAGGTGTATGTGTAAATGTGACAACACAGCTATCTCCATCCTGTAGAGTGAGTACATACAGTATATTATACTTTGTGTACCCCTAATGACCTCTAGCAACGCTTACATATTATGTAATAGTAATACAATGACCTTTGAATAGGGACTTTTACCGCTCCCATTTAAACGCCCGCCCAAATTTTGAAAAAAAAATCTTGCGAACGGGCTCTGAGGGCATGAAAGTAACTTAGAAGGATGTATTGTTAAGCACTGATTCCGAATCACCCCCTTGACATAGGGTTAAAATGCTTCCCCGAGGAGCTATGGGCAAAACCTGGTTTGGTCAGTGGTCACGTTGTGGTTAGTGTTATGGTTATCTTTGGGCTTATGGTTATGGTTGGGATTAGGGTTGGGATTTAGGTATGACCGTTTCGTTAGACTGCAAAAGCGTAAAACCCAATCCCCGTGATGATTTAAACATTTTTGGGCGAGCGAAATAATGTAAGCCGGACTTTGCACTTACAGCCACACAAATCTAATTTTCACTGAATCTAATATAATTTAACATAATACAATAACTTATAATAACTGTCATCAACATTACTCATTGCTGGGTATATCTGCAATCTGAAATAGATCCGTTGCGTGTCGTGTCTAGTATATATTATAACTTTAATTAAAATATGTACACGATTTACTTGACACAAAAATCAGCATCGGTTAAACTAAGTAAGTAAAACGTAATTTTACTTAGAGAGATTATTTAAATACTGACGATGAGAAGCTACCCGCGCAATTCACAACAGGATTATGACCTTTTTAACCAAAGTTTCCCGCTTAAATTCATCATTTCTACGTGGAGATAAGAAAATCTAATTTTGTGAGACGTCAGAATCTGAAAACAGAATTGATAAAACCGCCAAGCATGGAATAAATTGTGTTACTACGCGATAAGAAACTCTACTGTCCTTTAAGTAGCTACCTGCATGTATTATGTATGGGTTACCAACTGGCAAAATGAGGATGGACCAAACAGAAAAAAGTCGTGTCTAACCATAAATCAAATGATAAATGGTTAGACTTAGATCCTGACGTAAAAGTACTGAGAAAATTAGAAATGAATACATATCATTAGAGCTCACTGGAAATACTTTTATTGGTAAGAAAAAGCGCAATTCAAAGAAAACATGAAGGATTACTTCCTACTCAGTAATGGATGCATCGAAATTGAATTCAAGACAAGATCAGATTACAAATATAACATTTCACAGAGACGGACTAAATAGGTCATGCCGTGGTCTCCAACACATAATGAGATCAAACAAACAATATTTGATAACTTATACATCACGCCGCTTGGAAATGGCACTTCCACTATTGATGTTTAGACTAAAATTAGAGAGCACAATTCCAAAGTAATTCGTATTTTCTTGGAAAGTAAGTAGAAGTACCATTTCCTCAGAGGACAAAAGAACGTGATAGAACCTGATAGAATGACAAAAAGTAACGTACTGAAGTCAAGGGGGAATCAAGTTAGCTCATCTCGTGAGCGGTTGTAAGTGATTTTCTCACTGAGTGCAGTGGATGATTCATCAGTAGTTAGTGACTGTGTCTGATAACTATAGCAGACACGTGTCTTCAGAATCAGTGCCATCCCTCTAACTAACAAAGCTATAAAGCTAAGCCATATATTTTATATTTAACCGGATGGGAAGGATTATGTGTGAGCTCCATCATCCAAAACACATAAATGTAATATGAGCATAAACTACTATACCGGAATAAACTACTAATACTATACCGGAATAAACCATAAATTTAAAATGTAAAGCATTATGCCATTGTTAGCGAAAAAAATTAAATAAGCTGAAGTGAAAATATAAAAGAGAAATAAATATCTATAGGTATAGGTATACTGTATATCCATAGGTTCTTATTACTTTATTATATTTAGTCTTCCTCAAAAATCATGAAAGGTCGGCTGCTGATGATTCAGATGTCAGCCACGTAGCCAGAATCCTCCGACAGGCCAGCCTCGGCTAAGGGCCTGTTGTGCTAATAAAAGGGCGAAGACTCCGGAAAGTTTTTGAGAAAATGTAATTACGTTCCTTCATTATCCGGCATCTTAAGCACAGAAATAGCCATAGAGATATACGTTAGCCTTAGAGAGGTGATATTCTAGCTTTTTTTACGGATTATCCTCAATAATCCGTAGAGAAATCGGTGGTGTTTTGAAATTAACATGTTATCCTTGAACTTAGTGCAAAGGTTGAGGAAAAATAACCATACAGCAACCAGGCATCCGGAGCACACCAAACGGTTTAATCTTCCTTCTTGACTGGACAGAGTTAACTGAAATTTAGAGTTACCTCCGATGTCTGATTCATGTCTGAAGGCTCCACATGTACGTGGCTGTGGTGATTTGTAATCATGCAAAGACCGTATTCACTATTTAAAAGGATAATTCAAAGAATAAATTATTCTGGGAAAATTCAAGTACGGTGCTGATTCCATAAAATTAAGTTTAAGCCATCGGAATTCTTAGAATAAAAAAGAATTTCTCAGGAAATTAATAAATACAGGATAAACCTAATGATATATAATCTCCTCATTCGATAGATGTTTTCTAAAAATGAATTGACTAATACAAAATTGCATTAGCCATGCCGGGCCGGGACTAAGAAGGTCCTTCAGCGAGTTAAGAGCTTGGTGCACTGATGCTGATAACGAAACTTATTTGTAATATATACACTATTATATTCAGGGTGATTCAAAAAGGGATTTTAAATGGCCATAATTTGTAATGACACAAATTATAAGTCATGATCAAATGAGAAGCAAGAATAATATTCAGCCTAAGGAGGTTTTAACAGACTGCCAGTGCCAATCACTGCCGGACTGACCTGTGGATAGCTAGCTCGCCAGACAAGTATAAGCAACTAGGGCAGAATATAGTATCTTGGTTGTCATTCTGAATATTCATTATCCAGGTTCGAGTAACCGACTTTTAGTGTTGGTGTAGATGATAGAAGGAAAGTCAAAAGAAATCAAACCCCAGTCACTTGAAGAATAAGAAGAGCTGATGAAAATGAAAGGAAACTGTGGTAAATATAGAAAACATAACTGGAAATTATAGTATAACTATAAGACAAACAAAATGTATACAATAGTCAGCTTATACCCATATTTTAGATTCACTACATCAGACACAGAGTTATAATTACATTTGATTAGCTGAACTTATAGCATGTACTTATAATTACTGTACTTTTAGTTAAATGTAGTTGTATTACCAGTATTATTAGTTGATGACTAATGAGTAATGGTGTTATCATATTCATGGTGTTGCTACATGGTGTAAACTGTTACTATGGTGATACTATAATGTTATTAAGGTGATATCATGGTGTTACTATGGTGTTACTAGGGTGTTACTATGGTGTTCTTACTGGGCGGCGCTCAGCCTGTCATTCCACCGAATCTTTATTATGAACATAATAGCCTGGGGTCCCCAGGTAATGGTGTTCAGGAAGCTTGAAAAGAGCGCCGCGCACAGGGACTGGCGTGCCAGGTAACTTTATGTGCTCTTTCGTTTATAAATAGATGTTATTATATAAGGAGAGTCTGTGTGCCAGAGCTGAGTTGTAGCATTCTGTATAATTACAGACGGGAAGGTCGTTTTTTGTTATCTTTACCTTGGCACAAAGTGATTTATCGAGGATAATGTCCGATGAAATAATGAATATGTGAATTCTTCAGAGCAGACTGTAATACAGTATTCGTCGCAACTTTATTTTTAGATCAAAGCTCCGAGATATATTTAATCTGAAGTTTTACTCCCTCCCAACCGAAGGTTAATTCCACAAAATCTAAATCTCAAATCAATTAAATGTGAAATTTGGGGGAGAGACGAAGGAGGGATAGAAGACACTTGGTCTATTAGACCAAGTCCCTGTTGGTATGACTATGACGACCCCAAAACCATTAGGAAAATCTCTGCCAATTTTAGGGTCGTTGATTTCCATGATCTAAAGATAAAGAGAGTCATTAAATGTGTCGAGCTTTCTAGCTCCATTGATTACTTTGTGAGTTGAATTGGAAACTGTATGTTATTGTCTATTTATTTTTTAAAAATCAGTATTAGTTTATTTGTTTGTTTACCTTACGAGACAGATCCATGCCACAAACGACCGCTCATCATGATCGATGACGGACAAATATTTGGGCAAAATGTCAACAATTTCATCAAAAGAGCCGGGCTTCCTAAATTTTAGGTTGGAAAATATGGGGAGTCTTGGAAAACATGGGGAGTCTAGACTCTAGAATAAAGGGCAGTTTAGTCTTGCTAAATAAAAGAAGAATTCATGTTTTGTTCAAATAAATGTTTTATAAAGTGTGATATTGTCAAACATAAATACAGACCAACTGTTGGTAAATTCTGAGCAAAAACCGTTCATTATTAATTTTTATTATTAATATTAAGATTAACATTTGTATAAATACTAGAATTTATTCATTATAAAATGCATCGTTAATTAATCTGCCAGAAAAGATAAATTACAAAACATGCAACAAACATTCTATTATTATTTTGTGGTATTACCGGTAATTATTCTTAATCATTGTTATTATTATGTATTTTGAAATTAACTCAGTACTAGCAAACTCATTACAAAACAAGCAAATCAAAATCCCATCAAATTCCCGAATTTAAACTAACAAATTCAAAATAAAACAAGATAATATCGTTTAACTTAAACTGTCCATCAACTCCCACACACAACTAAACCAGGAAATGTCTCATTAATCTCTCATGTCACATTTCCATCTCAAACAGGAAGTGCCAACTAAATGTCACATAAGGCAACTGTCTGGGGTTTGAGGAAATGTCCCATTACTGAGTTAGAGGGGGCTGGAAACATCCCGTTATAAAGCTAAACATCCCATTATAAAGCTAAACACCCCATTATAAAGCTAAATGTGACAGTATAAAGCTAAATGTAACAGTATAAACTACTGAAACTCTGACAAGTCAGGAGATAAGGGGTCAGCACCACAAATCCCACCAGACCCAAGAGGTACACTCCCCACGTGACCTTCGGACATGAGGTGTCCGAGATAGAGTCCAGGTTGGGGAACCCCATACAGTTACAGAACGAGTGGCACAGGATGGGTCCTATTACCTGGTAAATGTTTAATAGTTATTGGATAACAAGTGGATAATTAGTGGATAATTAGTGGATAATTAGTGGATAATTAGTGGATAATTAGTGGACAATTAGTGGATAATAAAGATGATAGTAATAGTATAGTGGAAAATTAGGGGACACAATTACATTGTACAATGTACATAACACCACATGTATGTCTTATGAGGAACAATTGCATAACGACCAATGAGTGATAAATAGTACTTGTCGAGGGTTAGAATAACATCAGTAAGATAACTAATCAGCTAGAATGTGACAACATTTCACCCCAGTCCACAACCTGCTTAAACATTAAACAACCCTAAATAACCTGCTAACAACCCACTAACATCCTGCTAACAACCCGCTAACGCCTAGCAACCTGAGCTAATAACCTGCAAACAACATACTAACAACCCAACTACTTACCACTTTACCTTTGTTCTAAGTATACAACAAAGAGTGTTTTGACATTTTCTAATGTTTTTCCATCCTCATGTATTTTTTCCTTTTCACCCTTTTGAAAAAAGGCAATAGTGAAAGGTTACGAATGGAGGTTTTTGCAGAAAAACGTGGATTTTGGAGATTGCAGTAGGTGGGTCAAATATATGTCGTGTTCCTTGCTTGCTTGCTTCCGTTCGTTACCAAGCAACGAAAAAGTTGCGCGCGCGCGAGGATTGTTTGCGGAGATGTGATGTATAGATAGCCTGTGATCTATGAATGCGCGGCGCGACTGTGTTTTATTGTATACGATGCATGTAATGTATAATATTACTATTAGGTAATACGCCCAATTTGTACGTGGCACGCGTAGTGTATTGATGTGTACACGAGTATAGTTTACCTTTGCTGATAATTTCTTGAATTACAGATACAAGTTAAGTTCTACGGCAATTGAACTGAATTTTTCCTTATTTGATGCATAATTTATCTATATTATTATCATGAAGATTGAAGTGAGCTGATTGGAGCTTATACTTAAATTTATAGTAAATGTGAAATGGAAATCTAGCGTCCGCCAAAACGAAACAACGGGCGCAATTCTTGTTATAAAAGGGCACATTCTGATGGATTTAATCAAATTCGTTTTAGATTGATAACTTCATTGGGGGGCATTCACATATTACGTAATCATTTTTTGGAACATTTTAACCCCCCCCCCTCCCTCTCCGTAATCAGTTGAATAATTGTTGAAAAAACCATTTTTAATTGACGAATGCTTGCTGTACTTCAGGGTCTAAACTCCTCCTGCAGAACCACTGACAGTTTGACACTACACAGTACACAGTAACTAGAATTGAGGCGACGTTGACACGTGACTATAATTTAAAACACGGCTATATTTACTAGTAAAGATCTTGATTCGGGAGGAGTAGCCATAACTTTTGACTTCTTGATTCATTAGATGGTAGTTTAACACATTACAAGGCTTTGTATTTTTAATCCTCAACTCTTAAAATAACTCGTCCAACGGTAAATTTGTTTTGACAATCTCACTCCAACGGAGCGGTTGTCCTGAGGTACAAGGAAAACAACATTTTTGACATGCCAATTGATCAATTACTATAACATAATTTTATGAGGAAGCGGTAATTTATCTTTCAAACAACGAGACTCGGAATAATCTTGATCTCATGAATAAGACTAATGTCATCGTGGGTCAAGACTCAAGTATAAAGGGAGTAAGAGTATTTTAGTATTTATTAAAGAGTAAGAGTCTTTATAGAGCCTAATCTTCTTCACATCAGTCTCGTCTTTTCCCTATGCCGCTGAAAAGTCAGAATTAGCATATATTACTATCTCACTAATAACAAGGGATTTGAAAGCAAAGTATAGAAGTGATTACGGATCCCTAGCGTAGTTCAAGTGGGTAAATGCAACTTACCATTAACAACGACCTCGCAGAATGAGAGCCACCCGATTTTAGAGATGGTTATCTGAGAAGCACGGGTTCCATCACAATCTGTTTGGTAGAACAGTTTTCCTGACTCGTAAGTGATAATTCCACACAGGTGATCCCCAGCTCGAACCTGTAACTCAATGAGAAGGTGAATTTGTGAACTTATCGAGCGACGCGGAGAGATTTTAACATGAAATTTAAAGTAACGTTTAATTTCGTTAGCATCTGAAAATATGCACCATCACCTCAACATAAACAGAAAAATCAAACGCAAAACATACCTCGGCACTGTTGATGGCATCATATGCGTAGTAATCCAGTCTAGGGTAAATTGACACAATACCAACTTTAGTATTTTCAGTAAGGTCCAGTTTTACCCAATTCCCGTTTTGGGAAGGTCCAGCAAAGAAGCAAGATCCTCCGAAGAAGTTACCTTCCACGTTTCCATCCGTTACGAGACTTGCAACAGCACCATACATAGAGGAGGAAGAGGAAACCTCAGCAGAGGAAGCCAGATTGGGCTTACTCGCCTTGATGGGCTCAACAGCAGCGTCACCAGGCTCATAATCATGGTTAACCATGACTTGGACTTCACAGATTGTGAGGTATTCACCGGTCAAAACAATCTTAACGAGCTGACCCTTCAGTCCGTTAAGAGGAAAGAGGAACTTCTCGTTCACATTCTGGTAAACGAACCCTCCCACAGTTCTACCATCTACTTGCATGATAGCTCCATTGATCCTTTTAGCAGCTCCATCGTTGTCATTCCTTCCATAAACCGTGATGTGGTCAATGTAGAACTCCTTTTCTAGGTCCACCTGCCAGTAGTTAATGACCTCCTTGTTAGTGTGGGAACATGATCCTTTGTTAGGTATGAGGACGGAGGGGAAGTTGTCGATGGCTCTGGCAGAGGAGTAACCCGCAAAAGTGGAGCTCTGGTTAGAGGGACGTCGGATGGCAACGTTCTCCCAAGCCGGCACCACTGTCGGCATCTCATCCCCGAACACATCTTCATTTGCAACCCAGACTTCTACCTCGGCTAAAGACAGGTATTCGTTGATCAGTTCAACAGTGACCTTCCTCCCGTACACAGCCTCATCTCTCTCCGACAGATCTATCTCGATAGGGTCAGTTGGTTTGGTGGGTTTCTTGAGATCAGTAGCCACCTGAAGTGTCCTCCCGACAACAACCCTAGCACCTTCTATCCGCTCAGAGCAGCAGTCTGTTCTCCCGAATATAGTGATGTGATGGATCTTATAGACCCGGCCCAGGTCCACTTGCCAGTACTGGAGACCAGATCTGCCCGTGTGAGTTACAGATCCATAGCCCCAATGACCGTTTCTGTTTCCATCATTGGCTTTACGAGCATATCCGGTGGAATGAGTAGAACTCTGAGTTGCAGTAGACTCCTCGTTTACAGCCTCGTGGTTAAATGCCACGTTTGTAAACCCATCCACTCTCTCCCCGGGCCAGTTAACCGTTACCGGTGTTTTGTCAAGGTCAGCTTTCTTCACCATGACCTGAACCTCGCAGATAGCAAGGTAAGTGGTACCAGCGGAGATAGTCACGTACCTACCTGCCATAAGTTCCGAGCTGTCACATTTTATTTGTTGTGGACCTGTCTTCTTCATGTCCTTCAACTTACCACAGAGGTTGCTATCAACGAAAAGCATGGCGTTGGCCATGTAAGCAGAAGCGGAAGAGTCCAGCCCCCAAACACGAATGTGGTCAATTTGGTAGACCCGTCCCAGGTCTACTTTCCAGTGATCAGACCCTCTTTGTGCGGTATGCGTACAGGATCCTTGGCTTCCTGCCCAGTTCTGTGCAGTCCAGCCATCAACAGCTTTATCGGCTGATCCTCCGTGAGCTTCAGAGGTCTGGGACGCCTCCTTCTTCCAGGCAACGTTGTAGAACTCCTCTACCTCCTGACCTGCTTGTAGTGCAGGACCGAGAGTAGGTGCTGCTTCCTCCATCTCGTCCTTTCTCACATTTATCTCAATCTCACATATGACGAGTTTGCGAGCCCAGCTCTCAATACGGACCACCTTTCCCGTTCTTTTTGAGGCTTCTCCGTTGCAGTCGAACTTTTGTCCTTCCATTGATGCCATGTTCTCTTTCATTCCTGAAATCTTTTGGCAGATTTGTCCTCCGATCAGAATGTTAGCTCCGTCCAGGATGCCCTCGTCATTTCTCCACACGTCAGAAACACCGTATATGATGACATGATCAATCTTGTAGGACTTGTCAAGAGTGATCTGCCAGTAGTTGAGGTAGGTGGTCCAGGAGTAGGTACACCCTGCTAGATCCCATCTCGTGTTCGTGTTCCCGTCTACAGCTCGATCAGCTACAGCTCCGGATTTAACACCGGACTGTGCTAACTCGACTGTCTCCAATCGGGCCACGTTAACGTACTCTGACTCAGCTTCAGCTTCGCTCTTCTCTCTGAAGCAATCCATCCTTCCTGAAACTCCGTTACTTGAAACTTTTGGGCCTCTATGGCCTTCTTTCTTGAGATAGCATCTACCATTACTTTTGGTCATTGTGAATGCAATGCACTGAGAGCCAAATCTTCGACAGGACTCGTAACACTCTGCTTTGTCCTTCTTCAAAGTTGTGAAGCTCTTTATGTCCCCACCCCACATATCAATATTATCCATATAGCAGGAATCAGGATCCGCACTGAAATCTATCGTCACTGCTGTGAAATCATCAACCGATTGGAAGCCATTATAGGACGGCATAGTGACTCCGTCTACGGAAACAACCATTTTCGTGAACTTCCAGGTATCGTCGAAACCATTAGCAACCCTCAAACCAGTAACATCACCAATGTCAGCACTGTCCTCAATTGCACAGCTACCTGCCTTCCCCATCTCTTTTTTACCTACACACTCATGCTCAGCTGTCTCACCCTTAGTTCCGATTACCGCAAACACATAGTGGTTCTCACTCCCACCATCATTACCCCCCGCGCCACTGGTCTGGTATGCGAACTCGTACTTTACCTTTTCTCCCGTGCTTGTTTCCGTTTCGGCTGCCAGTTTCTCGTTAAAGCAAGGCATTTCACCGAACATGTATCCGTTACGTGTCCTCACTGCGTTATGTCCAGCTTTCTTTAACCAACAGTACCCATCTCTTGTTCTGAACACGAAAGCGATGCAACCTGACCCGTACCTCCTGCAAGCTACATAGCATTCTTCCTTGACTTTGCTGGTAATTCTAAATCTCCCCAAGTCACTCCCGGAAGCATCTGATTGTTCCCATAACATGAACTTAGATCGGCTGTGTGGCAGGCAACTACCAGCCCAGCCATTAAAACAAGCCACTGCATTTGACCTGGGCAAGAGGGGTTTTGTGGATAAAATACAGAATAACGGACGGACGGACATACTTTAAATTTTAAATAGCAAAATTTCGAATATCATGGGCAAGTAATTATAAGGTATACCAAAACTTATTATATATACAAATTCAGGAAAAATATGAAGATATAAGAGCAACACTTACAGCAGCGTAAAACTGAAAACAAGCCTACTCCCCAGAGAAGCGTCCTGGTTAACAATAAGAAACAGAACAATAAACAAAGAGGCAAGAATAAAAGCGGAACAAAAAGAGCTCACGTGACCCATTTTATGAACAATGACTCCCTGTCCAGCACCCACTTACCTTTGTTGAAAGTTTGCTCTGTTGTCTTCACGGTATTGTCTGTAACAGTAGGCATCTTTATATAACAGGAACCATGACTACCAGTGTCTTTATCAGCTCCTCAGGCTCAAAAACCTTTTCAAACTTTCTAAAGGAACGTTCACAGATAACGACGGTACTGAAGAGATGGGACTTTGTGAAGCTTCCCGAAACTTTGACGCTCACGTAATGTTTACACAAATGTCGTGTGTTAAAGTGCTGTTAGAGGTCTAAAAATGACCAAAAATTGCTGACGTATATTGAACGGTCCATAAAAATGAATATTGAAGATACGAAGATGATGAAACATTACTTTCGTATATTAATTGAGGTACTTTATTAAAACATGTTACAGTAAATCGAGCAAGCAATGCATGGTTTCTTGTAAATATTCTTTTTACCGATTTTATTATCTTTTTCTGCATTCAAAAATAATTGAGTATTTTTTGTTTCGGCAGACTTCCGGACGATACTGATCTTGTAACAAACCAGGCGCAATACTAATATCGTGGGATTAGTGCGTTCTGGTTTCCCATATTCATAATACTCAATGTTTACGGTGGCCTACGAAGAAATAGTGTAAAATGGCCAATACGTGCCTACGTTATTTTAAATAACTGATATATTTGGTAGTGGACCGGTAAAATTGTTCTTATCATCAACAAAAAAAATTATATAGAATCAACTTAGTCGACCGTTGGCAAGGGGTATAAATTAGGCACGTAGCCAGGATTTGGCATTAAAGAAATTTGTAGGACAACAATAAACTGGGACTGAAAAGAATCAAGTACTCACGTAAATTTGGTAACTTCACAACAGCAATCTGCATTCTCCAATCAGACTGCTCTTTAATTTTTCGCTGGAAATTAAGCACTAAGCAAATGCCAAAATGTCTTACCAGTCCCTACCGGACTCAGTACTTGCCACATTGAATGGAATAAGTACATGTATAGTGGGATTTGGGAATAATTTACGAAATGCTGAAGTCAATTGCCTGCCGTTTAAACAGTACAGACTGCAGTCATAAACAAAGTCCAGTTACCAGGCGACCATGGGGATTAGGGGGCTTATTTTTTCTGGGGTTCAATATTTTCCGAGGGGGCTGCAGCCCCCCCCCCCCTGGCTACGTGCCTTGTATAAATTAAGTTACATGTGAACAATAATTGAGTTAAGACGCTTGGGAACTAGCCTATCCTTTGTAATTTGACTTGAAGTGACTTAGACTAACCTCTACCAGTCTACAGTAGTATACAATATGGCCCCGCTGTATCACCTAAAAGTTAGGCACCATTTACCTAATTTCCTTATATGGTAGTGTCACATAATCAATAATAATTTGTCGGCCGGGTGGTGTAGCGGTAACACAATTGCCTCCCAAGCAGAAGATCCAGGTTCGAATCCGGTTATATTCACTCTGTGACTGGTAGGACTAGCCCCCCCCCCCCCCCCCCCCTACTGCCAGTATAGCGCTTACACACAGTGACTTAGGGTTACCGTAGGGGAGATTTTTATCAGTGTAACGGTGAAATTATTATATTATTTAGATATCATAAATAAACTTTATGAGAAATAAGACAAACCGTTTGAAACTTAAAAATCATACACATTTAAAAATACAATGTCAATCGTCAGCAATTTTCAGTATTTAAGACTTTGTACGATCATGTCACATTTCTTAACGACTGATTTCAATAAGGGAATATTCTCATTTATAAGTTTACAAAGGATTAAGAGATTATCAGTTTTTAGTACAAGATTGAAAATTAATTGTTCTTTGTTTGATAATATAGAATCCAACTGTAATCCACGTGTTTGAAAGTAATTATCTAGCATCACGAAAAAATCAGTCTTCAATTCATAACTTGAAAAAAGATCAAAGCAGTCATCCTCTTGGCAGGCTTGGTTCTTTAAATGTTTCTCAATTGACCGCAGAGTCTTGGTTAGCATATTAGAGCCAGCTTTAAGTCTTGTCATTTTTCGTCTGCGCTTTACACGTGGATGATCATTGCTACTATATGAGGAACTTTCATCGTCTGTACTTTCATTGAGGTCATTGTCTTTATTTATTGATTCATTGTCACTTGAGTAATCCTTTGTAGAATCATCATCTTTACCTTCATCCATGCTATCATCAGTGTCGGTAGGATATTCATCATCCATACTATCACCTGAATTTTGTATTGCAAGATTGCATAGGGTGTAAAAAACAATATTAAACAGCTTGACAGTGTAACATTATTTTCAGATTTTCATGTTGTTTTTAAAACTTCGAATCTATTGAATTAAATTACCTGTCTTCGATAAGGAGTTCATCTCGTGTTTCTGATCATTCTTGTTTCCAGAGTTGTTTGTTGTAATGGTCTCATCATCAGACACATTTTTATTCTCATAGATGTCATTCTTATGATGGAAGCTATATCGATGACTGGCTAGACTGCGTGAACTAGCAAATGTTTTATCGCATAATTCACAGAAATTGCTCATGATGATTCCAATTAAAGTGTCAGAGTAGCAAAATTGATGCGTATGCTAGGGGCACAAAGTGGAAATGATGCTGATTCTATTGTATTTATACACAATTTTGGAAATTTCAATTTTTAGATGTATCTTTTTGCAATCATATAATGAAGCAATATACAGCTGACGCTGCAACATGTAGGAATACTTCCCAGTGGGGAACGCACCAGACAGGAGAAGGGGAATAAAGTCAAATTCTACATCAACTAGTCAGACGGAGAGTATCATTATATATCATATGTATCATTTTAGTTATCATTATATCATTTCAGCTATCATTATATCATTTTAGTTATCATTATATCATTTCAGCTATCATTATATCATTTTAGATATCATTATATCATATGTATCATTTTAGTTATCATTATATCATTTCAGCTATCATTATATCATTTTAGTTATCATTATATCATTTCAGCTATCATTTTAGATATCATTATGTATCATTGTGTATCATTTTAGATATCATTTTAGATATCATTTTAGATATCATTTTAGATATCATTTTAGATATCATTATGTATCATTGTGTATCATTTTAGATATCATTTTAGATATCATTTTAGATATCATTTTAGATATCATTTTAGATATCATTTTAGATATCATTATGTATCATTATGTATCATTTTAGATATCATTATGTATCATTATGTATCATTATGTATCATTATGTATCATTTTTGTATCATTTTGTATCATTTTAGATATCATTGTGTATCATTATGTATCATTTTAGATATCATTATGTATCATTGTGTATCATTTTAGATATCATTATGTATCATTGTGTATCATTTTAGATATCATTATGTATCATTATGTATCATTTTAGATATCATTATGTATCATTATGTATCATTTTAGATATCATTGGGTATCATTTTAGATAACATTGGGTACCATTTTAGATAACATTATGTATCATTATGTATCATTTTAGATATCATTAAGTATTATTGGGTATCATTTTAGATATCATTAAGTATTATTGGGTATCATTTTAGATATAATTATGTATCATTATGTATCATTATCATTTTAGATATCATTATGTATCATTATGTATCATTATGTATCATTATGTATCATTTTAGATATCATTATGTATCATTGTGTATCATTTTAGATATCATTTTAAAGATATCATTTTTAGATATCATTTTAGATATCATTATGTATCATTTTAGATATCATTATGTATCATGATATATCATTATGTATCATTATGTATCATTATGTATCATTATGTATAATTATGTATCATTTTAAATATCATCATGTATCATTGTGTATCATTTTAGATATCATTATGTATCATCGTGTATCATTTTAGATATAATTATGTATCATTAATCATTATGTATCATTTTAGATATCATTATGTATCATTATGTATCATTTTAGATATCATTTTAGATATCATTATGTATCATTATGTATCATTATGTATTATTTTAGATATCATTATGTATCATTGTGTAAAATTATGTATCATTATGTATCATTATGTATCATTATGTATCATTATGTATCATTATGTATCATTATGTATCATTATGTATCATTATGTATCATTATGCATCATTATGTATCATTATGTATCATTATGTATCATTATGTATCATTATGTATCATTATTTATCATTTCAGATATCATTGCATATCATTTAAGGCATCATTATTTAGTTTTTATATCATTATGTATCATATCGTTTTTGAAATTTAAAAAAAAAATCTATTATTACAAATTCTATTGTAATTTATTCATGATTTTTATGGTTCTACTGATTTGATTAGGCGATTATAAGTAATTTGGAATACAATCAAGACACATACATTCAAAAATGTGACAAATGAAAATTTGTTACAACAATTGGTAATGTTATCAAGATTCAAAAAGTCAGTATCAAAAATATTTGATTTAATCATTACATTTTTCCGTAATCAGACATGAAAAACAAATCAAATCAAATGTTCTAAATCAGAAAATCAATTTTTAAATAGTTGTTTATGTCCATAACTTAATGTACTGATTCCATCGTCTAATATAAACTTTTTGTCGTCGAATCCTGATAGTCCACGCTTTTGCACAACAATACTATAAATTTTATTGCCAAAAGTGCGAATTG